TGACTGAAGGCAACAACAGAAAATAAAAGCTTTTCTGTTTCTTTTGGAGTTGCTTTCAACAAGGTACTCAGCAGGTTTATTTCACCTTGAAAAAGTAGATGCTATATAATTAATACCTAATATGAATCCATTTTGAATATACATAGGAGATAGAGTTTAAACAGATTGGTTAAACTGACTTTAATTCTCAGTAAGATTTTTTTTTTTTAAGATTTTTTTTATTTATTTATTTGAGAGAGAGAGCGAGAACACGAGATGGGGGAGGATCAAAGGGAGAAGCAGACTCCCCGCTGAGCAGGGAGCCCGATGCGGGACTCGATCCAGGGACTCCAGGATCATGACCTGAGCTGAAGGCAGTCGCTTAACCAACTGAGCCACCCAGGCGCCCCTCAGTAAGATTTTATTTCATTATTCATCGATGACAAATTCTTAGAACAAGGTTTAACTGTCATAATTCTGTTATTTTATACTTTTACTTTATACCCTATACATATACCTACTCTGACTTGAGGTTAAGGTGTCCATCTCTTACTCTCTGACAGGAAATCAATACTATATATGATCTAAACCCATTTTTTAGAGCAGAAAATTGAACATACTAGGAAAATCAACCTGATATTTTGTTCTTTACTGGAATGTATAGTCCATTTACACTTAATGTAATTACTGATCTATCTGTTTGAGTTTAAATTATTATTTATTTTCTACCTGCTTATTCTATATTTTTTATCTTCTTTTAGCTTTTTAAAAATTATTCAGGATGGCCTGGGTGGCTCAGTTGGTTAAGCGGCCAACTCTTGATTTTAGCTCAGGTCATGATCTCAGGGTTGTGGGATCAAGCCCTGCATGGGGCTCTGTGCTCAGCATGGAGTCTGGTTGAGAATCTCTCCTTTTCCCTCTGCCCCTCCACCACTCATGTGTGCTCTCTCTCTCTAAATAATAAAAACTTTATATAAAAATTATTCCATTTACCTCCTGTATTAGCTTATGGTAATAACTCTTGATTTATTAACATTAAATAAAAATTAGTATTTTTACCACCTTGTGAAAAATGCAGTGATCTTAGAACATTTCCACTCATTTCCTTCCTACATATGCAATTTAATCCTATGTGTATTTTAAACTCCATAGTATATTATTTGTAAATATTTATTGGGGCACCTGGGTGGCTCAGTTGGTTAAGAGTGCCTTTGGTTCAGGTCACCATCCTGGGGTCCTGGGATCGAGCCCTTTGTTGGGCTCCCTGCTCAGTGGGGAGCCTACTTCTCCCTCTCCCCGCCCGCTCCCACTTGTGCGCTCTCTCTCTCAAATAAATAAAATCTTTAAAAAAATTTTATTTAGATTTCTCTACATATTTAACCTCTTCATTATATTCCATTTCTTCCTTCATCTATGTGGTCTCCCCTGGAATCATTTTCCTTGTGCTTGAAGAATACTCTTTAGTTTTTCCTTTATTGCAGATATGCTATATTATCTCAATTTATATTTCTCTGAAAATGACTTTATTCTGATTTCATTCATTTTTTTTCAATAACCTTTATGAAAAATAAATGCTTTCATATTTAAGTATCTCTTTTGCTAGTATAGGCTTCTAGGCTGTCACATATTTTCTGTCAACACTTTGAAGGTATCATTCCAGTGGTTTGCCGTTTCCATTATTGCTGTTTTTAAGTCAGTTGTTAGATTTATTGTTGTTCCTTTGAAGGTTGTCTTTTTTCTGTGGTTGCTAGTAAGGTTTTTTTAATCTTTAGCTTTCTTTTCAGCAGTGTTCCTACATAACAAACAATTCCGTGGACAGATTGCCAAGATCACTGAAAAACAACTCCCATTTCAGATGCTCTTCTAGGAATCTTGCAATTCCCTTATCAGGAGATAAGAGTCTATAGCCACTTTCCTTGCACCTGACGTCTTTGTGTTTACCCTCGAACAATGGAGTACAGTTGAAGTGATGCTATGTGACTTCCAGAGCTAGGTCATAAAAAATGCCATGTATTTCTGCCATCCTTTCTTGGGACATTCATTCTTGAAAGTCAGATACCATGCTATGAGAAAACTCAAGCAATCCCTGGACCTGCCCATTTACACAGGAATCACAGTTGCCTTTAGGACTAGGTGGCAGGTGGAAGCTGGAAGGGCTTCAAGGAGACTGTTAGTGAAAGCCTAAAGGACCCCATGGAGGCTATTATTGAGGGCCTAAAGGAAAGCAGTAAAAACTTACTGGAAGCTGAAGGCAACACTGACACTTGGCAGTCATGTGAAAAATGGAAAATATACCTAAATGAATTCAATAATCTGGCTGAGGGGATTTCCCAGCAGAGTACTGATAGTGCCATCTGGCTTCTGCTGCCTATGATAAAGTGCAAGAGAAAGAAAAGAATGAACTGTTACATGTGAAGGAACCAGGACTTGCCAAGTTTGACAATAATACTATTTCTCTTTCCCAGCCTCCCCGTATGGTAAATTAGTCTTTAATTAAGACAGGACCTCAGACCAAAGTCAAATCCAGAGTGGGTCTATGGGGGATACTTTGTAAAGACCTCAGAAAGATTTGAGGTAGTGCTTCATAGAACATTTCAGACTGAGAGAAGGCCCTCTGAAGATTTTAAGGTGTCCCCAGCAGATCCTATCTATTAAATAATAGATTCTTAGAATCTTAAGGGTATTACCCTCCGCATACTCACAGGGAGCCCCAGGTAGAGAACTTCTTGCCTCAAATAGATTTATAGTGGTGTGTTTTATCTAATAAAGTGAACCTCACTAAGGTTTTTAGAAAACCCACATAGTTCTTAAGAGAATTGTTCTGGTAGCAGTACAAATTTGAACTAAAATAGAAAGAGTGCAGAGAAGAAAAGAACTTTGGACTCCTGATCTTTTTCGTCTAGGAAGCTGACGGAGGAGGTTTTGTTGTTACTCAGTTTTTTTTTTTTATGGAAAATAAAGGTTTTAACTCCGAGGGCAGAACCAAGAGCTACAGAGAACAACTTACAGAGAGTGTATGGGCACCACAGAATTGGCAAAATGTTCTCAGCTGGATTTCAGAATTGCTAGGGGCCAGTGACTGTTGTGTGCCTCCCATTTCCCCCATTTTTTTTCTCCCCCATTTTTTTTTTTTTTTAAGATTTTATTATTTGACAGAGACACAGCGAGAGAGGGAACACAAGCAGGCGGAGTGGGAGAGGGAGAAGCAGGCTTCCCGCGGAGCAGGGAGCCCGATGTGTGGCTCAATCCCAGGACCCTGGGATCATGACCTGAGCTGAAGGCAGACACTTAATGACTGAGCCACCCGGGGACCCCCACTTCCCCCATTTTTGAACAAGAATGTAAGAGTTATCTTATACCTATCCCACCGTTGTATTCTGTGTGTGTGTGTGTAGTTGTTTCTTTAGTTACAGGTTTTCACTTTGAAAATGATACTCGAGGAGCTATACCCAAGGAGCTATACCCGAGGAGCCTCATCTGTACCTAGATGTGATATAGATGATGCAATCTTAGACCTTGAGCCTGAGCATGACACTAGAATGGAATGAGATTTTTGAGGAGCCTTGAAAGAGGGACAGGTGTATTCTAACTATGGGAGGAATGTGAACCATTGTGGACAGAAGGCAGATTTTCAAAAAATGATTACAATGTTTCCCATCCTATATTCTTCTAGAACCTTGCCACTCTCCTTTTAAGAGGTGGACTCTGTGTTCTCCTTGAACTTGGGTGGGGTTTTGGGACTGCCTTGACCACTAGAGTATGGCAAGACTGATGCTATGTAGCTTCCAAGACTAGGTCAGAAGAATGCCATGCAATTTTGCCTTGCTCTTTTGGGATGCTCACTCTTGGATCCAAGCCCAAGTAGCCAGTGAAAAAACCCATGTGTAGAGATATTAGGAGACCCTCCTAACCCATAGGACTGTCTGAATTCCCAGATGATGGCCACTACCAACCTCCCTGCCATGTGAGTGAGAAAAATAAATGGTTACTATTTCCCCCCCCCTTTTTTTTTCGAGAGTGTATGCAAGCACACTGGGGACAGGCAGAGGGAGAGGGAGACAGAATGTTAAGTAGTTTCCATGCTTGGTAGAGTCCGATATTGGGCTTGATCACACAACCCTGAGATCATGACTTGAGCCAAAATCAAGAATGAAACGCTCAACTGACTGAGACACCCAGGCACCCCAAATGGTTACTGTTTTAAGCCACCATGTTTTTGAGGTAGTTGTTACATAGCAACAGCGAACTGAAACATACCCCAAAACATTGTCACATGAAATAATCATTTTGCTCACAAATACACAATTTGGACAGGGCTTGACAGGTACAATTCTTCTCTGCTTCAGATAATCAAAGCCTTTGTTGGCTTCAGTTTTAAATGGCTTAGGAGTTAGAATCATCTGGAGGTTTTTCACTCACATATCTGGTACCTGGGTGGAAATAACTCGAAGGCTGGGCTTCACTGGGACAATCACAGGGAATGTCTACAGTTGGCCTCTCCATGTATTTTTGGCTTCCTAACATTGTCACAGGCTCAAAGTAGTCAAACTCCTAAAGGTGGCTCAGGGCTCCAAGAGCAAGTGTTCCCAGCAGAAAAGGTGGGATCTTCACAGCCTTTTATGATCTAGCCTCTGAAGTTACATAGTACCAGTTATGTTCCACACAACTGATTGAAACAGAAGCACATCCAGATTTGAGAGAAGAGTATAGATCTCCCACCTCTTGGTGGGAGAAATGTCAAAGGTTTATGGCTATGTTATAAAACTGCCACAAATGATTTTTCTGTGGTAAGTATGGCATTGTTTATACTTGTCTGAAGTTTATAGTTGTTATGAACCGAATGTGTCACCTCAAAATTCGTTAATTTGAAATCCCAACCCACAATGTGGTGGCATTTGAAGCTGGGGCCTTTGGGATGTTATTAGGTTTAAATGAGGGCATGAGAGTGAGGCCCCCCATGATGGAATTAGTGCCCTAATAAAAAGAGGAAGAGAAACCAGAGCTCTCTTTCTTTGCCACAGGAGGACATGGGGAGAAAGCAGCCATCTGTCAGCCAGAAAAAGGCCATTACCAGGAACTAAATCTGCTGGAATCTTGATCTTGGACTTCCCAGCCTCCAGAAAAAAATAAATGTCTGTTGTTTCAGTCAACCAGTCTATGGTATTTTGTTATAGCAGCCCAAGCTAAGACATAGTGCTTCTTGAATATGTGGCTTGATGTCTTTGTCAGTTTTGAAACAATTCTCAACTATTATCTCTTCAGATACTCTTACGCAATGCTTTGCAGCCCTCAAAGAAAATGAGGAATGAGGCCTCTAAGAATGTCACACTATGATTTTCCAAAGTCTATTCTTAAAGCCAAGGAAGCAGGAAAATAAGTCATAGTCATTCATCCTTGAAACAGAGTTTAGACTTACCTATTCTAGAGATGCTCCCCATCTTTACCCCAACTCCTCCTCCCAAAGGATTCTTCTCTGATCTCCATGAGGAAAAGGTCAGCCTGGCTTCCTTATACCAACACCTCTCTGTAGGTTTGGCCAATGAAAATTCTACCCTGCTACCTGTATTTGAACCAGTAACAAACATTGGATGGCAATTCTCCCACAGTGATTAAAAAAAAAAAAAAGTGACCTAGTATTTGTTCAACTTTAAATTTCATCCATGGCTTAAAGTGTTAAGTAAAAAAAATCTAGAAGAAAATACAAATTTTAACAGAGGGGATGCTTTTTACTTTTTGTGTTGTATACCTCTAATTGAATCTTCTACAATAGGCATGTGTTACATTAGTAAAATTAATGAAAACATAATGTATTAAAAATGTTACCTAAAATACATCATTAATATCCATGACATGAATTTAATATTATCCATGGGACAACTGATTCACATATGATTATTAAATACCAGAATCTGACCTCGAATTTCTCATGTCAATAACAGACCAACACATTACAATTTAGGGGAAGCTATATTCTGGGTACCTCCAAGATGTTTGCAGAAAAAGGTTAGAATTTGTTTCCAAGCATCTTCCTGAGCCTTAGAATGAGCCCTGGGCTCCCCACCCCAGATTACAGGTTTGTTCACTAATGTGTGCACAGAAGCTGGGCATAGGGGGAAGTAAGGAGGCTCAATAAAATGCCCAGTCCCAGGATAAGAGATGATCTGGGGTTTTTCCTTTCCATGGGCCTGTAACCGTTTGGAGGCTATTTGGGTATATAACTCACTCCTCCAGTTATGGTCATCCTGACCAACAATGAAGAGGATGGGCCCTTGGGCCTTCTCTATTGGAATCATGCTGGGGTTCTCATGTCCTCCTACAATATCATTCCGAATATCCACAATGTCCAGGAGGCCTGAGAAAGCTACCTTGATTCTCCTAAAATCATGGCCCAATGATGGGATGCAAGTCTGCTTGTAGTATATGGCTCTGTTTCCACTGAACCCAGATCCATTGATGGAAACTGTGGCTGAGATGTTCTTCAAAAATGAGGCCATGGAAAGACAAATATCAGCCCCTAAAGAAATGCCCAGAAGCCCAATGCCTGGGCCCTTTACCTGGAAAAAAAGAAGAAAGAAGAGTCAAGAATGTATCTCATAGAAAAATGTTCTACAATGATGGCAATATTTTCCATCAACATCAATTCACCTAGTGAGTGTTGATACTTTGGGTCTGAGTTAAGCTGAGGGTAGAGGGAAGATGGGGGCTCGGAAGTAGCTGTCCCTTTAGAGGCTGACAGAAAAAAAATAAAATGGGGCTCCTGGCTGGCTCAGTTGGTAGCACACATGACTCAATCTTAGGATTGTGAATTCGAGCCCTACACTGGGCAGAGATTACTTTAAAAAAAATAAAGGTATTACCTATTAAAACACTTTTTTGGGGGGCACCTGGGTGGCTCAGTCGGTTGAGTGTCTGCCTTCGGCTCAGGTCATGATCCCAGAGTCCTGGGATCAAGCCCCGCATCAGGCTCCCTGCTCCGTGGGAAGCCTGCTTCTCCCTTTCCCACTCCCCCTGCTTGTGTTCCCTCTCTCGCTGTGTCTCTCTCTGTCAAATAAACAAAATCTTAAAAATAAATAAACAAAACACTTTTTTTTAACATAACTAGAAATGCTAACTTTAATTTGTGAGTTGGCCACAAGAGTATCAACCTCAGCTGACAGGAGTTTCTTCCCACATAAAAAATATCTGGGTGAACACATGGCAAATGAATTGTCAACTCATTGGCAAGTCTGGGTATTGATTACAAATGTTCCAGACTATCATCCACTAGAGAATGCTGAGTCACGGAGCCTGTCAAGTTCAGGTCCTCATTTAGGTGGACATGATCTACGTCTCACTGTGCCAAGGTATCTAACTCTGTGGAACCAAGTTCTGTTCTAAGTGAATGACTCACCAGACCCCATCTAAATATACTGGCAAATGATTAACTTTATAGAAACAAAGTAAGACTTCAGAGTCAAATTAAGTAGTTCTTAGCTTCTGAAATATGTGGGCAAGTTCTGATCAAAATCTAAGAACACACTGATATCAGAAAATTAAAGATTAAAAAATTAGAAAGAGTCTGCACAGAAAAGTAAACAATCAACAAAACTAAAAGACAACCTAAGGAATGGAAAAAGACATTTGCAAATCACATATCTGATAAAGGGTTAGTATCCAAAATTTAGAAAGAATTTATAAAACTCAACACCCAAGGCACCTGGGTGGTTCAGTGGGTTAAGTGTCCAACTCTTGATTTTGGCTCAGGTCATGATCTCAGGGTCCCGGGATCAAGCCCTGCATCAGGCTCCCTGCTCAGAGGGGAGTCTGCTTCTCCCTCTCCCTCTGCCCCTCCCCCTGCTCATATTCACTCTTGTGTGCACTTTCTCTCAAATTTTTAAAAAAATCTAAAAAAAAAATGTTCAACATTACTCATCATCAGGGAAATGCAAATCAAAACTACAATGAGATAGTACCTCATACCCATCAGAATGGCTAAAATCAACAACACAAGAAACAAGTGTTGGCGAGGATGTGGAGAAAAAGGAACACCCATGTACTGTCGGTGGGAATGCAACCTGGTGCAGCCACTGTGAAAAACAGTATAGAGGTTCCTCAAAAAGTTAAAAATAGAGCTACCCTACAATCCAGTAATCACACTACTGGGTATTTATCCCAAAATACAAAAACACTAATTCAAAGGGATACATGCCCCCCTATGGGTATTGCAGCATTATTTACAATAGCCAAGATATGGAAGCAGCCTACGTGTGCATCAATAGATGAATGGATAAAGATGTGATGTGTATATATATATATATATATATACAGTGGAATATTATTCAGCCATAAAAAAGAATGAAATCTTGCCATTTGCAACAAGATGGATAGAACTAGAGAGTATAAGGCTAAGTGAAATAAGTTAGTCAGAGAAAGACAAATACCATGATTTCACTCATATGTGGAATTTAAGAAACAAAACAAAGAAAGGGAAAAAAAAAAAGAGAAATCAAGAAGCAGACTCTTAACTACAGAGAACAAACTGATGGTTACCAGAGGGGAGGTGGATAGGGGGATGGGTTAAATAGGTGATGGGGATTAAGGAATGCACTTGTGATGAGCTGTTGAATCCCTATATTGTACACCTGAAATATAACACTGTATGTTAACTATACTGGAATTAAAATTAAAAACTTAAATAAAGAAAGCATGTAGGGGCGCCTGGGTGGCTCCATCAGTTAAGCCTCTGCCTTCAGCTCTGGTAATGATCTCAGGGTCCTGGGATCAGGCTCCCTGCTCAGTGGGGAGTCTGCTTCTCCTTCTCCCTCTGACTCTTCTCTTTGCTCATGCTCTCTCTCTAATGAATAAATCAATCTTTTTTTAAAAAAATGTTAAAACTAAAAATTAGAAACTCATTTTGCATAACAAATGCAAATTCCTGAATAATACCTTTAAATAAAACTTCACATGGATTTTTACAATTAATCCTGTCTTACTAAGTCATCTGACAGAGAAAGTGTAAATAGGCACCTAAAGCTAAGGAAGTCTCCAAAAGATATTTCTGTGAAAGAAGAGTTGAGCAGCAACAGGGCACCTGACACAGGTGAGTGCAAAGTGACACCCTCCCTGGATGTATTTCTAGAGAGAATGATACAATAAAGGACATTAGGAGAACCTTGGAGTGTTGAAGCATGTAGCACAGGGCTTCTTCAAAGTAGTCCAGGTGTATGCCATCAATTTCCTTGGGGAGATCTTCAAAGTTATAATAAGCTAGAGCCAACGTGGCAAAGTCATGACCAGCCAAAAGGCTGGCTCGATATTCCATGAGGCCCCCTCCAATTCCAAAGATGTCAATGATCCCCGGGAAAGGTCCAGGTCCTAGGGAAGAGAATATAAAGGAAAGACATTATACAATTTAAAGAATTTGCTTTCCTTTTAGAGATCTCTTTAGTGGGTTCTATGAATCAAAGAGAAAAAAACACAGCTCCCTGAGTTATTATGCAAAAGGAATACAAATACCTTGTAAGGAAAATCTACAAGGTACCTTCTCATTAATGAGTTTATCCCCCATATGATTCTATAAATTATCTACAAGGTTCTAAGAATCTTTAGTTATCAAGGGCTAACTTGAGTAACAAAGTCTTTCATTACTGACTACATCACGAAAGGAGGAATTTCATGTTTTAGACAGTGTTGATTCATAGTGTTCTGTTAGGGGATTGGACATAAAATTAAGAATCTTGAAATAAAGCTTTATGTTGTGTTGCATTGACCCTTGGCTTTGTGTGTGTGTCTACTGATATTTCAGATGTCTATTTAGAGATAGGAAAGAAAAATAAATATCCAGAGATGGCTTCAGGTGAGAAAACCAGTAGAATCTAAAGTGTGATCTGTGGTACAGAAGGGCATGAAGAAGTGGAGAAGAGGCCCAGTGTACCCAGGGCGCTACAGAAGGGTGACATGGCAACAGCTTCCTTGATTGATAGGGCTGATGAGATCTATAAAGTAGTTATTAAAACAAAGTGGACCACATACCTACCCATCCTGACCCTTTTTTATTTTAACCTGCCGAATAACAGTACTCACCTCATTGAGATATTATGGAGATTAAATGAGATAATACAAGCAAAACGCATAACACAGAGCCCAACACATCAAAATACTCCATTTTGGT